GTATGTGTGCTTGGATCCAAAATTATGATTATATCGATCAATTAGAAGTAGAGCCTGTCATAACATCATAATATGGACGCATGAACTCAACAAGTGACATAATCTATCAAGTTACCTAATCCCAACATTACCATATTTGGAACAATTAACTACAACAGCCCTACCAAAAGATCAAGAATTTTTAATAATACAATAAGTGGAGGAGCTAAACCCCATGCAAAAGAGAGAAAAGAAGGAAGGAGATTAGATACCGAGAACATAGACAACTAGAGATTCTATGTTCAATAGAACATGAACCCAGTCATTTTTAATAGATAACCACTGTGAACTTTAAGCTCAACATGTGTGAACACCCCATGTTTTGTAGGAGTCTGTCTAATGCAATTGGTCCAATCATTACTCACTAGAAATCATAATGTAAACCTTTCCTCTATTTGCGACAAAAGCTCATTCAGGTAAATTTGACCTACATCTTATGCACGAACGCACTAACCGCAAAAAACTAGAATCGAAATTCGTAGTTGCTATTGGCCTTAAGCGCGTGACGTCATTCATAGACAGAGTAAAAACAGTTCTGAATACAAAATTGTAAAGAAAAAAGTGATTAATTGTTATTTAAGCAACCAGCATGGGACTTACATGGTAAAAGAAAGCTTAATTTATGAGTTACAATTGACCGTTCACCCCGAAGTTTAGCGACCTGTCGTTGCAGAGTTATGGTAAAAAGAAGCAGGAAGTATACCAAAAAACACTCTAATTTTAACTTTTTTCCTATGCAAAAGCATAAGAGATAGTCAAATTTAAAAGAAAAATGATCACTCCATTTTGCATTAATTGTAAAAATATATAGATGATTATAAAGCTTAAAACATCTAGTTTCATAATCCGATCACCCCAGATTGCCAAATGAAACCATTCAAATTATATAGTCGATTTTGTGAGAAAAGGGGGGGTCCGGTTTTGACTCATTTACTGTGTTAAAGTTTGCAGTGAACCGTTCAGTGAGCAGATGTCCTCAAGTTTTCATTATGATTTGATAATTTTCACTATAGTGACCCTTGTGACTTTTGACCTATAGGTGAAGAGTCGTTTTTCATGTTTAGAAGGTCCTAAGGATCATTCCTGGTAAATTCGAGCTCAATTGGGGTTTTTTGAAAATTTGACCCCGATGACCCCTATGTGACCCCTCATCCTAGACTGGGGTGTAGGAGGTGTCGCCGGTTCTTAATGACGAAATTTGATTGAATTTATTCCAATGGTTTGCCATTAGTAGCATTTTTAAATGTTACTATAGAGAACAAAAGAATAACCCTTTAATGACCTTTGACCTTAAATCGCTTAACACCAAAACGACCCTACCTTATGCCAATACATATGTGCCCATGACAAGACTCTGCTATGTTATTTGTGACGGAAGTCTTTTATTTATTTTTTTGAAAGTTTTTACCCTAATGACCCCTATGTGACCTTTGACCCCAAGCAGTAAACACCCCCATGTACGAGAGGTGTCACCGATTATACTGACCAGGTTTGGTTGAAATCCGCACAACAGTTTGTCACTAGTAGCATTTTGAAATGTTGCCAGAAAAAAGATGAAAATTACCCCTTAATGACCTTTGACCTCTTATCCCTGAACACCCTATAGACCCTGCCTTGTGCCAATGTATATGTGCAAAGGGCAAGACTCTGCAACGTTATTTGTGAGACAAGTAGTCTTTTATACGATTTTGGTTATTTGACCCTAATGCCTCTTATGTGACCTTTGACCCCAAGTTGTGAACAACACATAAATGCCAGAAAGAAAGAAAGAAAGAAAGAAGAAACTGCTAGGAAACAGAACCCAGTCAGCATGCTGCTGACTGGGTAAAAAGAAAAAAAAAGTTAAATTAAAATTAAATTGAATTAAAGTTGGTTTCTAGCTTTACTATAACATACTCGTTGCATAAAGTATAGAAGAAGATCACTAGAAATATTCCTGGTGTACTATAACAGCAGAAGCCGGACAGTAAACTGGAAGCAAGTGCGAGCTGATTGTACTACTGTATATTTCGAACGTTGTGTGCTGTCGGATTTTTCCCTGCACTATTCTTAGATTATGTTACTTTATTGGATATCGCTGACTTCACTTTACTATATTCCCTGACCCTGACTTTTCGCAATATTATTTCTACTATAACAAAGGTACGTTACAGACGGTCTCATATAAGTAGTCTAATCGGCTAGTTAATTTCCCCTTTATAATAAATCCTAAACTTTAATCCTCCTTGTCCAATAAATTATTTAGGTGTTTAAATTAGTTAACGTGTGACGTGTTTTATTTTCTAGCTGGATGACGTAATTAAATCTACCAACTGAAGCCCGTGGGCCTAACTGCGAACCGAATCTACACAATTCCTGGTTTCGTCTTTAGTTTCGTTTTGAAGAACCAAACCGGTTAAATTTCAGGTGTAGTTCGCGGTGTCGGCGCTGCGCAAAACGCACGTTAAGATAGTAAGAACCCGCTACATACATCTTCTCAAACATCTTACCAATGATGAAAATGTTGAAAGTACAGTACCCAGTGTTGTCGTTATCGTCAGTAGCATTACAAGTAACGATAGTGTTATGTTCAAAGAATGTTGTTCCACTCATGTAATCACATACTGGTGAAAAAATGTCTCCTGAGTTGTCTGTGACATTCGGTGCGGCCCATGTTGCAGTTGCCATACAGCTAGAATCACCTGTTACATTTTGGTTTGGTGGACATTCAAGTATTGGTGCTTCTTTGTCTAATAGAGAAACAATGTCATTATTTGAATGTATGGTAAGCAGTTCAGCAGTTTGAACATGTCACGATTATGGGTGCAAATCATCTGACACACCAGAAGTTATACTTGCGAAGACGACTACTACCAATTGATTAAAAGAATTAGAGAATCACATAGTGTCATACTTGTATTGAAAAAGCCCTTGATTGAAAGCATTATGTATATAT